TGTGCTGATCCAAGATCTTTCCACTGAGCTTTACAATTGGAGATCTTCCGTGCACAGCGGGGGTGTTGACTCCACATCTCCACTTGGCTATCTATTAGACGTTTCAAACAGCACAAAACGTTTTGATTTTTCGTTCTCCTCAATCTTCTTTCCCATCTCAGCAGTCAGCAATTGGAATCTATCTGGATGCTCAGAGCAAAACCTGGGTGTACTCTTTATTTTTAAAAAAATGAGATATAATTGACATTGACGAGGGAGGACCCCCCTCCAAAAACCCAGAAATTTCTCCTGGAGGGTAGACCCCATGTAGTACAGGCTTCTCCTCTAGGCTAGTGTTCTAGGAACCCATCTGTATCAGTGTACCAGCTGGTGTTGTTGTGAGAGGCTGCATTCGGCTTCAGTGAATTTTTTTTGAAGACTCTTCCAACGTGTTTGCCCATTTCACAATGGGTGATTTTTGAGTGCACCTGCCCACACCGCGCTGAGTGTTCAGCAGTTTTTAACTAAAAACAGCATGACCCCCATGCCCCACCCTCCCTATTCACCCGATCACGCCCTGAGCAACTTTTTTTTTGTTGTTTCCCTGGATGAAAAAAATCCTCCAAGGGAAGCATTTTACTGATGTAGAAGAGGTGAAACGAAAAACTGGCAGAAGCACTAAAAGGCATCAAAATTGACGCTTTCAAAAACTGTTTTTTTGGGTAACAGCTTTGCATCAAATCGAGAGTACTTTGAAGGTGACTGAAGTTTAAACATGTAAAAATAATACACAATTTTTTGTAAATAAATTACATTTTGGGGGGGGGGTCCTCCCTCGTAATATTAGTTTCAGGTGTACAACATAATGACTGGATATTTGTATATATTGCAAAATCATCACCACAAGTCTCATTAACACCCATCACCATACAGTTACAAATGTTTTTCTTGTGATGAGAACTTCTAAGCTCTTAGCATCTTCTAAATATACAATTCAGTATTATTAACTATAGTCATCATACTCTAGTCATATAGTCATCATGGCATTACATCCCATGACTTATTTTATATATTTATAACTTTCTAACCCCCTTCACCCATTTACTCTCTGGAACAGACCAAATCTGATCCTGCCAGGGGCCCTTGCGCTCCAGTCCATCGCCTGGGGCATTTCTCCTGCAAGTCTTCAGCGGGCGGCTCCCAGTCAGGCGTAGCAAGCCTGTGAGTTCCCAGTGGGTAATGCCAGCACGGAAGAGGATGGCTGGACTTGGGGTAATTTGCTGGTTCACCACTCGAGAGGGCTGCCTGTCAGGTAAGGGTGCCCCAGCAGCAGAGGGCAGAGGGTTATATCACCAGAGGTAAAGGCAAAGGAGGATGGAAGAGCTCGTGTTACCCGAGAGGGGTACCCCTAGGGAAGGGGACACCGTTGTTTGCCTTTTCTCTCTCCCTCTGCTCTGCCCCAGCCTACTGGAGGAGCTGGAACCCAGAAAAGAGAGGATCCTTGAATCAAATAGGAGTGTTTTTAAGTTTTAAATTAATGAACATTGAGATTTATTCACCAAAAGGGAACACAACTACAGAATGAGTCTGCCCAATTCCAAGGCCATCATCTTCTCACACGTCTGCTGCCTTAGCTCCCGGCTTTGCTTACTCCTGTCCTGGAAGCTGGTTTATTTCCTTCTCTGGTAAACAGGGGACTAAGAACAGATGTGTTGCTCATCTGCCAGACATGGTTGTGTTTACCACCTTTGTACTCTAGACCCTATCTCACGAAAAGGAATTTTGAAATTCCCTCCCCCTGTCGGAGGCCCTCAGAATGCTGATCCAGGAGAAGAAGACAGGCAGGAGGAACCACACGGAAAAGCTCGCACAGGAAGAACCGTTAGCTGCAGCCCTGCCGTTGTTCCTAGGTTAACAAGGAAGGCTGTCCGGCTGCGTTCCATGCACTGCTTTGAAGGGTTTATCAACGAAGGTGACCAGACCTGCTGGATTTCCCAGGACATGTCTGTTCTCCTCGCTTATTTAGTAATGGAGTTCCCGTTCAGTCAGTCTCAAAAAGAATCTCATTCTAGATAGTAAATTAAATGGCTACTTTACCATGTATCCATAGAAATCAACTGAAGGAGGCAACTTCAAGGCATCCTTGAGCTGGCTCATGATAAGGCCTAAGAAAAGGGCAGACCTGAACAGGAAAACGCAGCCACAGCGAGGAGGAAAGTGCAGGGACTGTGCACTAGGCTCTCTGGCCCAGAGCTGACAGCCCTAGGAGAGGAGCGCTGAGGACGGCTGACGGACTCCTCTGGACACCCCGGGAGGCGGTCGTTCACCCTTCAGTGAGCACACGGTGGGCAGAGCAGTCATCATTCCGGGGCAGGCTTGTCGTCCTCAAGGGCTCTGAACCGGAGATGCCTGGAGGTGTGAGAGAGAGACCACTCCCTTATGCGTTGACCCAGGGGTCGCTGGGGGTTTGGCCTCCCACAGAGCAGGCAGATGAGTCACACACAGTGAAGGGCTTGATCTCGGTGTCCCCACTTACTCTCCAGGTTTTGAAAATCTATTTCTGGTCCAAAAAATGTAAAGAAAGGATATATGTACAATTCTGCCATTGATAGGCTTGTATTTCTTTACCTCTTTAACCCTTTCCCCACCCTATTTTAGCGGGGGTGGGGGGGCTATCTCTTTTACAAAATTCAAAATTCCAAATAAAATCTAGGGGAAAAATGTGTCCTACATTCTGCCACCTTCTGATGTGACTCAGCAACAAATGATTTTCAAGCTTCTTCTCCGCCGTTTTGTCTGAACATTTTCAAATCTGGATACGGGGTTCTGGGTAAACCCCAAAGGCACCGACATCTGGCAGCACTTGGGACTCACCAGACTTCGTGCTTCATCGTCTTCACCCAAAGGCTGTTACAGCAACCCCCAAAATGTATTTATTAGAACACTAAATTGCTCGTAAGTATTATAGGAGAAAGCAAGGGTTCAGTGATCAAAGATGTTTATTGAAAGGCAGGTTTTAAAATAGTAACATGTCTTTTTAGTACAGGACTTCTTGGAGCTTTTAATGTGCAAACAAGCATGTGAATCCCTGACAAAGAGGGAAGACTGAAGCATCTCCTTCTTCCTTGATGATGCTGTCCTTTTTATTTTTGGTAGGAAATCTAGGGGGATGAGAGTTTAAGGCACACACTTTGGGAAATGGTCTCTTCATCTTACTGGGAATATATCCTTACAATGTCTAGCCAATACATGTAAGGCATTAATAATATTAAAAATATCACAAGCCCTTTCTCTTTTTTATGTCAACTTCCATGATAGTTTAATACCGTGTGTCCTTTTACTACCACTGAAGAGATGGACATGTTGAATGATTTTACAGTCCTATGAGTTACGCTGTACAGAGCATGTGGTTACAAATCTTTAGTAAAGTACATCTAAACATTGATACTGTTTTGTCTTGTGCCATTACCTACCCATGGTGAGGAAAGTTTAAGCTTTGCAAAAATGGAAATGAAGATATCAAGGGGTACTTTAAAAAAAAAAATCAGTTCTATTCTAGGTGTTCAGTGAACATCTTTTTGCACCAAGCAAAAGCAAAACCAAACAAAACCCTCAAATACCAGACATAGAGATGGAGACCGCTCTTCCTCCTCAGGCTAGATTCTTGCTAGATTCCAAAGCAATTGTATGGGAACTCGGGAGATTCCCGGAGGCCCTGCGTCTCTCTGCTATGCACAGTATTTCTTAAGTGATTTGAAGAAAGCACTCCGGTTATACTCTTGAGTGCCTTATCAGGATTATCCTTCCAAAAAGCTCAAGAGACCAAAAGCCACCCGAGGAGGGATAGGCATCAGTGCTGTATTTGAATGTCCTCATAAACAGTCACGAGGCAGGCTGGAGTTACCCAGGGAGCGAGAACAGAACGTCTACGCCTTGTGATCCATTTGTAAAACAGTTAAAAAGAAGTAATTAGGCTGAGAGGCAAAAAATGAAAACATAAGTCAAACTCTCTTCTTTATATATACAATGATTTTCATATTGACAAAACATTCATGAAGGCATTTATTGGGATGATGATTCTGCTCCATTTTTGCATTCTCCCAATTGTCACTGCTGCTGTTGGACCTGATTATATGTGCTTGTAGCTTAGAGTATTCCAGTAAAACAGGCCCTTTGAGAGCTAGAAAAAAAACAAAAAAGCCATGTTTTTTTTTTTAAAGCACCTTCCAAATATTTTTACTCTAAAATAAGTAAAGTACAAGAGAAAAGTCTCCAAATTGCACAAGTACGCAGCTCCCCGAAGGCACATTGAAAACTATGCAGAATAATTTTGATTAGACTGTACGACTGTGCCAGGCTCCAAACAAGTGGTTATTCTGTTGTGACATCTGCCAAGCAATGCATCCATTGTTCTCTGGAATTTAATTCATTTTCAATTACTCCATCCAAATGATAAAACATGAGATGTGCTATACTCCGGGGGTAAAATGCAATGATTGTTTTTCGTGTGACCACCACACTGTTAGCTGGGAAGCAATACAGCCTGTTCTAATTAGGCCCTGATTACTGTCTTCTGGAAAACAGCTAGTTCAAGAAATGTGAGTGAAATCCTGTTAAATGGACGCGTTGGCATAAACAGCCTCGCCTGCTCCGGTGTGACCGCAAAGCCGGCAGAGCCATGTGTGAAGTCTCCTCCACGAGACTGGAGGAACAGTCTTTGGAAGAGAAACTATTTCAAAACTAAAAACAGCTTGGGGACTGACTGACTGTAAAATACAGTTTAATATGTGTACCAACAGAGTCAACAAATTATTTTACTAATCCAGGACTCCTGTGCAAATGCCTCAAAGCCAAAATACTGTAACCGCCTGTCTCCAAAGTACTGTGAAAGTTCCTAAGAGCTGTATGTGCTGGGGAACACTGCCATCTGAAAACATTAGTGATTAGGCATTTAAAAAAAACAAAAAGCAAAAATAAGATGACTCTCGGGGGAAAATACACACATGTACACACATTAAGAATTTATATCTCCTGTATGCGGCATATTTAATATAAACCTTTGAAACAAGTTCAGATGAAATAAAAATCAAAGTTCTCAAAAAGTAAAAGATTAACTTAATGGCTAATGAGTCCCTATTGCCCCAAACATCAGTATGCTTTTATTTCTATGCAAAAGTACGCCTTCGAACTGCTTAAATGATATGATACACAAACCAATTTTCAAATAATAAAACCAGTCTTCTTGCAATTTAAAAAAAATTAGGTAAAAGATATGACACATCACACACACATACACACACCAATGACAAAATCTGGCCTCTCCTAAAATGAGTACACGAAGACCTGTAAGTGCAGCAGGAAGGATTACTCCGTCACCCCTCCCTACAGTCCATGTAGTTTCCTTTAATCCAATAGCAAACCTGGGCATATTTGAGAGGGGTGATTCTAACAGCTACATTGAAATCCTGCGGAGAACCATTCATGTCTACCCACTGGTGCCCGGAAAAGATGCCAATAATTTTTCGCTCCCACTTCTGCTGCTGTCTCTTCCACATCCTCACGTAGACCCCTGACCCACTGGCCCCGGGCTGGGCATCACACTGCTGGTAGAGCAGGTCATAGGTCTCATCTTTGACGTCACAGAAGCGGTACACTAAATTGCCGGGCCGATCGTTGTCGTAACCAGAGAAGTGGATTCTGCCCCCTGGCAGCTGCTTGGCAGGAGGGCTCACCCCAATCTTCATGAACTTTCTCTTGTGAAGTTTTTTGAGTTCCAGGAGGGCGTAGTCATAATCCATGCCAATGTCGTTGGCATTGCCCTTGATCCAGCCTTTGGGCACATGGGTGCGTTTCACTCGGATCCATTGAAATTTCATCTTCTCGGGCACTGCTGAGCTGGAGTTGTTGGCCCCTCGACCACCATCTTTAAACTTGGGCTTCAGGAAGCCCACTCGAAGTTTCTGGGTTCCTTTCACGTAGGTTTTCCCGTCATGTATGCAGTGGGCAGCCGTGAGGACATGCTTCTCTGACACCAGGGTGCCTGTGCAGCCTGTAGATAACTTCACCGATGTTGAGAAAGGGTAGTTGAGCAGGAAGTCCTTCCCAAAAATGCTGAACCTGCTGTCATAGCCGTAAATCTGCCGCTTCCTCCGAGACTTTCCGGAAGACCCAGCCCCACCGCCGCTGATGACATAAATGCCCACCTGTGTCTCTGTGCGGCTGCCATTGGCATAGAGTGTTTCATAAGACAGGTACTGCTTGACCTCTTCATAAGTGGGCAGTGGATTTCCCTTATGACACTGGGGTCCGCATGAAGAGGACACTTCCAATTTGGCTTCGGCACCAAAGTCTGGCTTGGGTAAGTCGAGAGTGGACTGGGGCAAGATGACAGGGAGGCGGTAAGCAGGCCAAGTGGGTTTCCAGTGGGTACCGAAGGGGCTCGCCTGCCCAACGACACAGAAGAGGAGGAGAAGGAGGAGGAAGAGGAGCCCTGGAATACCCGCCATGCTGAGCACCACTCTGTGGGAAGAAAGACAAGCGGGTCAGGAGGGGCAAGGGGCTGACCTCTGGGCTCAGCGCTCTCTTTACCGCAGAAGCAGTCAGTGGAATGCCTGTCATTGTTTCTAAGTCTGTAAACCCTCCTCAGGAATCAGGGTGTGGAGAGGAATCCCTAGATAATGGTCTCACTTACAATGCAAGGGCACGACCTTGGAGCATTCCCGTGGCTAGGTGCCCAAAATGAAATCGGGTGTTCATTCCTTTCTATGTTTAAGATGCTCCTAATGACAGCCCACTGCCGGGCGGTGTGCATAGGGCATTAATCCCCAGATGAACTGATGGGCCAGCCCAATTTCCATGTAATTTTGAGCCTTCTTTGTGTTTCACACTAAACCTTCATCTTTTCCTACCTCTATCATCCCCCTGCCCTCCTTTCCTTCTTTCCTCTCATTCTCATTACAGCATGAACTTGGAGCATCTACAGAGCACCTTGCTCACGTAGAGGATAAATTTAAATTACTCAGCTTACTGAGGGACAAGGCATCAAGGAGGGATAGCTCCACAGTGTCACACGTGCGGGGACTTCCATTGTCTATAAATAGTGGGTGCATTCAGAAGGGTCTAAGACTTTTTTTTTTGGCTTTGAATTTAGAATCCTCTTAACTATTATAAATTTAGTGCCAGAGTAGTCATGCCTCAAATAAAACATTTCTTCTTCCTTTGGGTTTTGTCTTATACCACCAGGGTCTTTGTCAAGGGTCACTCACATTATATCTGTTACTGTTGGTTACCGTTCAGGTCTTTGTATCTGAGGTCCAAGATAGTCTAATTCCCTTGAATTTGGGCCTAGGCTAGCACTCAACACAGATCTGTTGAATGAATGATTGTGTTAGTGGAAGAGTGAGTGATCGCTGTGGCTCAAAAAATAGTTCTTTTGAATGACGCATGCAGAGATGAACAAGGATGATGTGGTAGCTCAGAGAAAGGGCAAGAAGTCAGCTGTAAGGTAATAAGAGGAGAGGCGTTCCAGCGGAGGTGATGCTTTAGGTGGGTGTTGAGGCTGAACAGAAGTTAAACATAAGACAGAATGAGGGGACTCTTAGAGGGAACAAGTCTGTGAGCTCAGAGAGACCTGCAATAGTGCAAGTCATTTCAGGAAGTATGCTTAGCTTAGCCAGGGCGGAACAGAGGAAGAGGCGGAGGCCACAGGCAAGAGTTGGGCTATGAAGGGCTGTGTATAGGAATTGAAGGAATGGGGGTTTTATCCGGAAAGGTATGTTTAAAGACCAATCAATCACCCCACAAGGAAAACAACAACGAAAAAGAAGGTGGGACATAGTACTTTCACAAATGTTCAGGCATCAGTCGGCTTTGACCGGCTCTGAACCTTGTACTCAAGAGAGGTTGACTTAGCAGGTGGGGAAATGCATTCATAATCAAACATCCCAAAACTAGGACAGGGAGGAGGTAGGTCTCAAGAGGCTAGTGGAATGTAGCAGGAGTCAGGAAGAAACTGTTTCATTATTCTCACCCTCCCCCTCTTTGAGAGTCCAGACCCACTGGCAAGTTTGGGTGCCTTTTGCTTTCTTTTACATAAAACTGAAAACTCCCATTGAGCTGATCTAGTCCAGCTGAGCATTCCAATCTATATCCCCAATATCCACAGGCTATATTTGTCAAATATGTGGGTGCCCAAACCACCTCCTGGATCTTTTTGCTTGTCTCTTTCTCTTTCATTCTACTTGTCAGGGAGAACAGGGATGGGAAGGGAAAGGAAAGAAGCCACAGGAAAGCCTATTCCTCAGGACTTCCTGATTCCTCAAAACCACTTCTCCACATTTTTCCAAATAGGAAGGACCCCTGGGCTTTTTTGAGGGGGGAGGAAATACATCTAATTATTTCTCTAAAGCCTTGAAATCATGGGATGCATGTGCACACAAGGTTGAGGGTACTGTCATGACGGAAAGTTCTAAGTAAATGTGGGAGGGGATGTTAAGGGTAATAGAGGCTTCCTCCCCAACAGGAACTTTATGGGTGGGCTAGGTGTGGTGAGGACAACCCTTTAGGAGACTATGGGGGATGGCTCTGTATCTGATTATTCCCCTCCCCTGGGCAAGGACCCAGCTCTTGGACATATCTAGGGCTTGGACAGCCTTTTCTCCATGTAAGTTTCTGTCTAGGTGACTAAATGACCCCACAGCAGAATCCCTGCCAAGTGTGATATGTACTAGGAGGAATCGTGCATCTCCCACAGGGCTGTGTCTCGGAGCCCTAGACACTACACCCTCTCCCTTTCACCAAGGCGGAGGATGCTAATGCCCGCTCTTGTGGAGCAGCGGATGTGGCAGGCCCAGTTTTACTTCAGCTTATCTTAAGACAGAAAACACAGAATTCAGAGAGAGGTGCAAGCTGCCAAGTATTCCTGTTTTCATAATATGACTCTTAGGGGAGAGAGAGGAGGAGATGAAATAGTATTATACTATGTATTATCATAAGTTGTAGATAGTATTTTTGATGTGCATGATGAATATGACAATTAAAATATGCTCATATCTATTATCCTGATCACACATCTTTAAATCCCCAAACTGAAATTTGTATGCTAACTGGATTCTTGGGATATGGAGTTTGAATTATCTACCACAGCAGAATTGCTTCAGTGGCCTCTGTCCTTAGCTTCATCTATTTGTCCAAACACTAAAATAGTCCATTGGCAAGGGGTATCAGGGAAGGGAATGGCAGGAAAGAGTCTGAAACCAGGATCCATCTGGGAACCTTGTATTAATGAAGTAACTCCCTCTCAGGTGAAATTAACTCTAATTTCGTTTTTCCAAGTGCTTTCTTTTGCCTGAAGTAAATTCCTGTTTAAAAAACACTTCCCAAGGCCTTGAAGCTTGCCTCATTTCACAAGTGCCACCAGGGCACACCTTTTTCAGTTGTTGGTTTTTCAATGTCTGTCTTTCAAAAAGAAATGATATTTTTAGAAACCAGTTCACGAGAGTTAGTGGGTATGGAGAAATGAGAAGAAGTACCTTCTTGGGTGTGAGCGCAGGCCACCAGCGAGGCTCTCTGACTGGCCATGGCTTCACTCCAGCCCCTCAACGTAGAGGACAGAAATTGTTCTCCAGCGAAACAAGGGATGACTAAGTCAGGCACCTCTAGGACCACTTACAATTCACACAGTCTGCTAGCGAATGCTACAGAGGCTGCCACAGAGTATTACTGTTCTAGATAGAACAGTGTCTTATGGGTATTAGACAATATTACTAAGTCAGAGTCCTTACAACTTAAATTCTGGCTGTTTAGCCAGTTGAGACATCAGCCATCTATTAAAAAAGAACTGCCAAACCAGAGGGTGGGGTGAAGTTCTAATCCCTTAGAAATAAGCTTTTCAAACACCTCAAGAAACAGTAATTCTATTCGTTTGAAACGTTGCTTACAAGTTCTCTATATTATTACTTAAATCTATTCATTAACTTGTGGGGTACAACCTTGTTCTGACAACATTTTCTGTCCTGATTAAAGCTTATATATAACTCTGAAAGCTGTAAAACTGGATTTGAAAAACACTTTGATTCACATTTAGAACTTAATGCAGGTCAAATTATTCGAAACTGATTCATTTTTAAAAAATACCTGATTAGAAACTGGGAAATAAAGTTGTGTGTCCTCAGGTCCCCCGATGGGTTTAAACTGACATCATATTAAATTTACAGCTTCATAAATTGCACAGTCCTTTACCAACTATGTGTTTAGGGTGATTTAAGAATTGCTATGAGTACCAGGTGTTCTCTTTCATCTTTCCAGCTCTTGCCCTGGCTGGTGTAGCACAGCGGATCGAGCGCTGGCCTGTGAACCAAAGTCTGCCTGGTTTGATGCCCAGTCAGGGCACATGCCTGGGTTGCCAGCCAGGCTCCCAGTAGGGGGTGCTCCAGAGGCAACCACACAACGATGTTTCTTTCCTTCTGTTTCTCCCTCCCGTCCCCTCTCTAAAAAATATAGTAAAATCTCAGCCCTGGTCTTTTCAGGTCCAAGATTCTCTAATTTTATAATTTTCTATGGTCACAAAAATCCAGGTCAAGCACTATGTTGTTTACAGACAACTGTCATTTACTGCTCAGGCAAGAGTTTTACTCCTGAAGTTAAGGAGGGTGGAGGCACTGGGGAAAAGAAAAAGGAAATTTTATCCTGTTAATCTCTTGCTTATCTGGGGGACAAGATTTCCACATGAGTCGTCAAAGGAAACAAAGGCCTCCAGCAGAGGGCGGCTTTCAGGAATGGAGGGGAGGACGGCAGGCTGTGAAAGCTCTCAGGAGAGCCTGCAGGGGACTGATCCTGCCGCTTGCTCCCCACGGCTTTTCCTGAAGTCCTCACACCTTCTCCTGACCCCTCCCCATTTAACGCACCAAGGGTAACTGCTGCTTTAAAATTAGGTTGGTGGCTATGCAACAATTTCTCAGCTCACCTGATTATAGAATTAATTCCCCAGGAGACAAATAATTATTGTTTCCATTTTTATAAACTACAGGTAAGCCTGTGCCATGCCCATTTAAGTATTTAAATATAAATACTCTAGAATGTAAACAGATGTAATAAAAACATTCATAAACTCACAACTGGAAAGGTAACTAAACGGGTCATATAACTTTAAATTTTCTTTCTTTACAAATGAACCACCTTATCAGTAATAGAACTGCCTGGAAAACTCACACCTTAAAAAAAGGCATAAAGACTTCCAAGACTTATCTGATTACACCTAAATCTGGTGAAGAAAATTCAGGTCTACAACGTTTAATTTTTAGGAGTAAGTCTTTACAGGATAAAAATTCCTCATATACATATTTATCTTTTAAAGTTCTCGGCTGAGTATTTGTAGGCATCACTTCACCTAAAGGGCAAAGCAGTATGGGAAATTAAGGTAGGCAAATATTTTTTCACCATCCTTAGCAATATGGAAACACCATTCCTTTTGCAACTCTATGTATGTGACTCACAAGAGGATTATACATTCCCTGCTCCAC